GTTGTGTGGAGGACCTTGGCCTGTGAGCAGCCTATGCTGCTTTTAAAGTTGTGCTGGGGCTGACAGGAAGAGACTTGAGATACGAACCGTTTCTCACATTCGCAGTTGGTGTCCGAGCCGGACTGTCGCATGGCAGTCCCGTGAGGGACCTCGTTGGATTGCTTCCGCGCCAGTTCCTGGGGGTTTTCATAGCGTTCTAGTGTGTAGCTAGTGTCGGTGTAGCTCATCGGATGTTATCAAGTTGTGGTTCTGTGTGTGGATTTTGGCCTTGTTCTTCGCTAACACTCTGGCAAATCTCTGAGCATGCAGCAAAGGCCAGCAAGGGCGGTGTGAATCTTTATGTCAAGATGCTTGCCTGCAAGACACGGCAGCATGTCGGTTATGGTTCGTGGTCAGCCGTTTGCAACGCTTGGCAGCACTTGGAAGGGCGGCCCCCTCTTTTCTATTGTTCTAGATGCGAGGAATCTCGACGACAGCATTGATGAAGCCGGCCTCAAGGACTAATTCGTCGGAAGCGTGCGTCCGTGTCTTTCGTCCAGCTGCAGCGTCAGGAAGCCTGTCGCATGTCTTTCAGGAGCTCTTCGAACCCTTCGGAACCATCACTTCCGCCGCCGTGCCCCTGGACAGCAACGGCAAGTGCAAGGTGCGGCCAGTTGGCTTCGGAGTAGCTTGAGGGAGTTGCATACGACCGTCTGCCTCGTCCTTGCAGGGCTTCGGCTTCGTGTGCTTCGGCTCGCCGGATGAGGCCACCAAGGCGGTCACCGACATGCATCTCAAGGCGAGACTTTCTGCGTAGTCTGGTGAGCTGGGGGCTTAAGCTCCCGAGCCCAGGTCATCAAGGGCAAGCCGCTCTACGTCGGTCTTGCAGAGAAGCGGGAGGCAACCGGCGGCAATTTTCGGGGCGGAAAGCCGAGTCGCATTTGTCTGCAAGAAGTTCTTGTAGATCCCTATTCAGATGCTTGAGCGCTGTCTCTTGGAGATGCGCGCTGTGCTGCCAGCTGTGTGTCGCGAGCATGCGGGAGGCTCGTCAGGAGCGACTGCGACAGCGCTATGCGCCAGGGACTTTCAGCTGCAATTGGTCTTTAAGTTGGATCGTAGAGATTCCGGGGTCCAACCTTCTCTAAAAGGTTGTGGCAGACATCCTGGTCGGGCGCAGTAGAAATTTTTACTCTGGAGAGGGGACACAAGGCTAAGCTGTAGCGGCAGTTGTCTCAGTCGTGTTGTTTGTAGGCCTCCCGGTGGTGGCAAGGGCATGGGCGGCAAGGCTCGCGATTCTGAGCGCCGAGACCATGCTCTGGATGGAAATCCCATAATTAGTTGAAATTGCTCGGCGGACTGGCAGGGCGAGGGCAAAGGTGGCAAGGGCGGCAACAATCCCAACATGGGAGGCCAGCAGCTGTCCACCCTAATTAGCGCATGTTTGTTTGCGCACATGCTTCTCCGACACGTGTGGCCTCTTGCCAACTCTTGTCCGTCGTGATTAGGATTCAGTCATTGCGTGCTCCACAAACAGGCATGATGGGCATGATGCCGCAGCAGGCTGGGCACACGAGTCAACTACAGACATCATGCAGAGAAGCGGCAGCACAGAGATTCCGCCATGTCAGGCTATGATGGGCATGATGCGCCCGCCCATGATGGGCATGATGCCACCTCAAATGATGGGCTCCTCGGCATTGAAACCCCTATAGCCCTAGTAGTCTGCCTGCAGCTTCAGCTGCCGGCTGCCGAAAAGAGTTATTCTCGAGGCAAAGGGGCGCCAATGGCGAAGAGCGGCGGCGGCCCAATGCCGGGATCCCGGTGACCTGTGAAGTTGCCACCTGCCACGAGAGATGACGCATGCATACGCCAAGTTGCTGAGGATGGGTATGATGGGCAAAGGACGGCTCGCAGCTGTCACTTCGGACCCGGCGTAGAACTGCATAGCCGCAGGAGGACCCATGATGATGCCCGGCAAGGGCGGCCAGATGCCAATGATGCCTGCCATGCCGATGGGAATGAATCCCATGATGCCGCGCGGGCCTAAGAGGATGCTAAGAGCGCTCTGCTGTGTGCGGAGAGATCCGAGCTGCCAGGATGCGGCCGCCGATGCCGGGCAACATGATGCCTCCCGGCTCAGAGGATGCCAGACGCTGTCTGAGCCATGGCACAGCTCCAAGGCCTCCAAGACCCGGAGCCCCGGGAGGCGGCAGCGGGCCTCTGCTGCTTGGACTTAGAGCAGCGATGTTTTTGGCAGCCATGGCGCCATGAAGCCGCTCGCCGCTCAGGAACGCTGCCGCCCTGGCCAATGCTTCGCCAACCGCACGGGGCTGATGGCTTTGTGATGTGTTGCTTTCAACCTGCCGTGCTTCGAAAAGTGTCAGCGAAGAGCATGGAGACCAAGTGTTCGTTCATGCTGCTTGCCCGTGTTTTTGCAGTCCAAGGTGAAGGTAACAGGTATGCTCTTGTGTGAAACGTCCGAGGTGCAGAAGCAGATGATCGGTGAGAAGCTGTTCCCGGCGATCTCCAAGATGCAGCCCGAGCTCGCCGGGAAGATCACTGGCATGATGCTGGAAATGGAGACTTGGCCTCGTTTCGGGCGCATAGCTGGAGAAACACCTCATCTTAGCACACAATGTCGAAGACACGTCCCCACTTTCGGTAAAGCCCATGTCTAGGACAACAGCGAGCTTCTGATGCTGCTCGAGTCCGAGTCGCAGCTCAAGCAGAAGGCGCGCTGATAAGCTTTCGATCAGGCGAAGCATGGCGGCTACTGCAGACCGATTGTGTTCGGACATGTCCTGATCTGTTCGATGCATCCACATGCTGGCGGTTTTTCTTGGCTACACAGTGAGGTTGACGAGGCAATGCGCGTGCTGCGAGGTTGACGAGGCTATGCGCGTGCTGCAGACGGCAAAGAACTGAGGCAATTGTTCAGACGGCTGATCATGTATGGCGACTGGGAAGTTTGTTTTGCAAACCTGCGAACGAATCGATGCTGACATTACCAGAGCAGCCAAGCAGCTAAATGGCCTTCATCATAGGATGGTGCCTGGTGCTAGATCCCACTAGCCGGCCCTAGCCGCCCTAGCCTTGCTGAACGTGAGAGGCTAAAATTCATTCCCAGCGCCTGACGTGACAGGCAGCCCGAGTGGGAAATATCGTTTAAGCTGCGTCCAGTGTACTGTACATGGCAGGGTGCTCTCGTGCTAGGCCTGACGGGAACAGCCTCTTTCAGAAACGCACAGTGTTCACTTGTGCACCCTGTGCAGAACCTTTTGGACAAGGCTCTGAAGGTTTGGAACGTATCCCCTAGGTATTGAGTGTGACTCAGTATTGCTTCTCTCCATCATGAGCGTAAGCAGATGTGAACCGGACTGAACCTTCCTTTTTGCTGGGTGGTAGATGTTTGTGTAGGGAGTAGAGGTCTGCCAGTGGAGCAGGGCAGCCTTTCTTTCGACATCTTGCGCAGGCTGTGCCCTGCTCTACTGTACCTCCTGCAAGACTCAAGGACGTTGGGCCACGAATGCCACTGATCCTGGCTGAGCTTCACACAGTTTTCTGCTGGTAAAATGACTAGAGTCTAGAGCCTGTGGCACCTGGAGGTCATCGATAATTTCCGAAGTGCTGCCAGCCGGATTGTTCTGCCAAGTCCTTGACTACACTCGCACATCGCGATTTTAAGGGCTGAAGCGGTCGCCTTGACAAGCCCGTGCCTCCAGGTCTTCGAGTCCAAGCATGTCATCACAGAGTCATCCCAGATGTAGACTGGTACGCAAAATCTCTTTATCAAGATCAAGCTTGTGAGCGGGCAGTGCGGGGCAGTCTCGCCCTTTGCGATTGTCTGTGCAACGTTCGCACGCGTTTTGGAGCCAGGGGTCAACAGCTGTGAAACGATACTCCAATTAGTAGCTCAAAAAGATGCCAGTTAGTATATTCGCTCCGTCTTGATGCAAGAAAGCAAAAGCTAGAAGCTAGAATCAGGATTTCGTCTGCATCAATTCCATTTCATTGTTTGTGGATTGATAGCTGTGCTACCGAAGCATGATGCGGTGGAATCACTATTATTATACCTACTGTGTATATATATATATATATATACATATATATATATATGTATATATGTATATCTATATATGTATAT